CTACTACTGCTTCTGCTGCTGCTATTGGCCCTTCTGCTTCAAAATGTGCGGACGAGCCTCCTCCTCCTCCTCCTCCTCCTCCTCCTCCGCTCTCACTTACCCCTCGTGAGCCTCTCTCTCTTGGTTCAACTGCTCCGGAATTCATGAAGACATAAGTAGGGACGATTATTACAGTCCGTTGCCCGATTGAGCGGTGTTCTACCTTCTTGTAGGTACGGTCTCTCTACCTCCTCCGTGATCTGCTTCCCCTCTCCTCCTCCTCCTTGCCCTTCTAATGCTCCTTGCCCTTCGCAGAAACAACAAGTTATAACGAAGAACTCATAACATTGTCTGGTTTCCGGTGCCACAGTGCTACCCACGCGCGTAGAGGTTCTTCGGGCTCCCTCGAGGGGAGGGAGCCCAGGAACGGACTCTCTCCATCTCTCTGTCCTCCTCACTGACATCGAGTTCGTTCTTCGACTGCATCGCTCTACCGCAGACTACGGTAGCACCGTCCTTAGGGGAGGGAGCTTATAACGTTTTCGATTTCGCATAAATTCTCGTAATTAGTTCGGTCGTGTTCTCGTCATCTGACACGGACGATTAATCATAGCCTACCTTCGTCCCCCGAATACAACGTACGGTCATTATAGCTGTATTTAGACTGAAAGATACGCCAAATTCAGCTATAATGACCGTACGTTGTATTCGGGGGAAGAAGGTAGCCGTAGCCGTCGGATTATGGCATAGCGAGCGCCGAGCGGAGGTCGGGTAGCTGAGAGACTGACAGCACACGTCGCGTGACGGACAACCGAGGGGAGAGAGCGAGAAAGCGAGAGAGCGAGAGAGAGAGAGAGAGAGAGAGAGAGAGAGAGAGAGAGAGAGAGAGAGAGAGAGGAGGGGGAGGGGGAGGGGGGGGGCGGGGAGTCGGAGGGACGCCACGTCGGGTGATTGGCATGATCGGTATCCAGACGAGGAAGAAGCCCGTCCAGGAACGCCATAGCCAGAATCTCCATCTCGAATCTTGATTACTATCTGCATTCATCTCTCTCTCTCTCACTCTCTCTCTCTCTCTCTCTCTCTCTCTCTCTCTCTCTCTCTCTCTCTCTCTCTCTCTCTCTCTCTCTATCCCCTTTTTTTTTTTCTTGTCTTCGCGCAAGCGGAGTCTGTGTCCGCCCATCCAGCAACGGTGCCACCACCGGAATGCCGATCCCGAT